TTAATTGTAATAATATTTTAATATTTAATAATAATATTTTATTGTGATTAGACTGATAAAATTGAACAAGTATATATTCAACACAATATGACGCAACATTATCATCTTAGAATTTCTTTATTAAATTTGTCATTATTAACTTTTCATCTGAACAAAATTATTTCACATTATGTCTTGATGTATTTTGATGTTAGTCATGATTTTAGGAGACAGCTTTCGTTGATATGAGTGTCGTAACACATTACATTGTCATTACAATCGATATTGCGTTTCAAATACTAGATTACCGTAGACAGACGCAAAATTCGACTTCAGTTCATATCGACTGAGTTTGAATTCATGTAACTTCCACGATGTCCTCTTATTGATATTTCTTATCGATGTATATATTCATTGTCTACACAGGGGCCCCGCGGTAAATGTCGAAATCCGAGTAAGTTGTGTTTTCTGCGATATTTTAACAGGGTCTGTGTTTATCAAATAGTATATTAAGTGAAATAGAAACAAATAATATAAAAAAGTTATTGAAACATATAAAGTCAAAAGCTGATGTGAATTTACAGTCGATATATTTCAAGAAAAATTTTCCAAAATATTTATTTCTATAATAGCGCGAACTAATCTGATAGGCTTGTGAGATGAGAAACTACCAGAGGCTGAAACTGAAATATCACATTTATTTACAAATACATATTTTATTTTGCGTTGCTTATACAATAATACTGTTTAGCGCATTTCTAAAGCACCGTGTAATGATGAATTATAGATAATTTTGTTTAAAGTTTAACTACTTTTTCAATACTACTGTCAGTTGCTTCAAACGAAATTGTTTGTAGTGCCAGAAAAACTTTCTTCATTCATAAATCAGTTTAATAAATACGCAAAACCTGTCGAATATATAAATTTGTGTTCTTTGAAATCGCCATAAATGTAACAAGTCTTGTCAGGTAGTAGTTTACATAATTCTTTTGGCAAATTTTATTTATTTTTACAAATTTTAATATTCTTTAATTCTGCAATTCAGTTTTAACTGCCAATTCGTTAAATTTAAAATATCATTTTTTGACATGGGTTTTAAAATTCTTTTAGGTCTGATGTACATATTTTTGTAAGTACTGTTTTAGGTAGAAATTTTAAAGTATTATATTTTTATAAATACGAATTTCGAATATAAATAATTTATGCTATGCATGGTTTCTTATGAAAACTTTACAATGCAAAACATAATATTCATTTAACCCGCTGCCTCATATTTAAAATTCCCCGAGAATTTGAAAGCAGACGAACACATTAAACAATATATAAAATTAATTGGAAAGTCTTAAGACTTATTAATTTTAAACTGCAACACGATTTAAAATTCTGGATAAATGTAGTATTAAAATTGTTTAATGTGCATGAAATAACTGGAATAACTGTGTGTCAGTATTTGCTTAAAATGTGATGGTCGTAACAAATTGGTTGTAACAGAGAACATCAGTTATGTTGAATCACACACATCGAAAAATTCCTTTACTTGAATAACTTAGCTTGCGGGTTAGCTTAGATTGCATGCAATTTAAATGTCGAAAACAGATTTTCTCGTGTATAAAGAAAGATTCGGTTACATGGTTGTATTCTGCTTTTGTATTTAGAACAGTATAACACAGAACTGTCTATTCTACACTTAAATGAATCGAATCCAAACCGAGATTAGTGTAAGACTTAATGTGAATTAGGTGATTTGGTATAATGATTCCTGCAGGTAATTTTCGAATGTCTACCATCCTCGCCTTCTACACAATGACTGCGATGTTCAACAAGCTTTATTTGCCAGATATTTGGGGAGATCTAAGATGGCTGTCTTCTTGAATGTTGCGCATTGTAGTCTGGTAGACGTTTACAGACGTTTCAGAGGTGTTTGATGACTCTATAAGGGAAATCGAACCTCTGAAACACCGTCAGACATCTACCAGACTACAAGTCGCAACATGCAACAAGACAGTCTGTCTCATGCTTACCGCTATGAGAATTTGAAATCTCGCCTATTTCGAAGGACGTAAATTTGGAGGCTAATGCTGAGGACTGATATTTGTTCACATTCCCTCTTCCTTCCTGGACGTCCAGATGGTGGGGTACTGAGACCAGCTTCTTGTAAACCATTTACACAGTCTCGCGTAATTGCCAGTATTTTAAGTTGATGAAATTTTATACTGATTTATTTATAACTATGTTAAATGTTCTTGTTATTTTTCAAATGTCGTTTTAATTTTGGTTCCCGAAGTGTCTGATTGATTGATTGATTGATTGGTCTCCAAGTAATCGCCGTTTAATTATTCAGTCTTGGAAATGTATGAAGCGATATATTTAATTGGTTACGTTCGAAACTGTATGATCTTACGTAAACAAATAAATTATTTATTTGTTCGTAATGCACGTTTTAAAGTTAACTGATAATATAATTAATTTAACATTCTTTGCTACAAGTACAATACTTTTATGCATGATATCAGTTTATTAATGAACTCATGATTTTCCTTCTATTTTACAGAAAACCGAGTTATATTTTATTTAATAAGATTATACAAAGTTGATATAATTGCGTCATATTGTGAATTAAAATTTTTATTTATTTTTACCTTATTACATTTTGTCTTCTATACTCGTTCTTTCAAGTTCAATAATAATTAAAAATATTAAAAAAAATTTAAATTATTTACGTTACAGGCCAATGTTAAACCACTATCACTTCAAAATATACCCTCACTCCAATGAATTTG